CATCCCGACAAGCGGACACTGCTCCTCTTTAATAGGACTCTACTCCCCCTTTCGGCTTCTGACGACCGAGCAAGAGACAAGTTCGGTCACCGACATCAAGACGTTACTCTAATGTCCTGCCACTTTCCTTGTGTCTTTTCTGGATTAGCCTTAAATATTCCTACCAGGCACTTAAGTGGGTGCTTCAACCTATGGCAATTGTCAAATTGACGAAACACTCCTGGGATTCGCAGAACACTGCAATTTTGTGCTGAATGTCCCATTTCGACCCACGTATTGTAGTTGGCAGGTGTTCTTCTAGTCTACTCCTGACACATTAAAGAGTCCTTCAGTCTCAGCTGCGGCTTGACGTTAGGCTCCATACTAGGTAATTAATTGTGCTGGTGTAGGTTTGGATAATTTGTCAGACCCAGCTGCTGTCGTGGGCTCAAATTGCACCGAGGCGGTCGAGTTTTTCACAATTGGGTCTAATTAATTATTAAAAGTCTAATGAATTTTAGGTTGATTGCCTAGGGAATCCTCATTGGGCAGCCAGTTTACTGCATCAGAATTGGTAGATTCCGTGCGTCACAGTAAATTGGGTGGGCAACTTCACACATGCGATTATACTCGGTGCTCCTAGTGGGACCTCCTATGTCAGGGGGTTAGTTTGGCCTTGCTCCCTTGGTTTAAGTACCACCGAGGCCGCCGAGTTTTTTTACATTTCTTTCTGATGAACACGTAATTCCGGTGGGTTAAAGGAGTCAAGTTCCTGATGGCAGTTTCAGATGTCAGAACAGAAGAAGCAATTGTTCAAGGACGATTGCCTGAACGAATCACTCGGTGGCAGCAGAAATTTTTGTCAGTTAACATCATGGAGTGGTGGGGAACTGCCTGTCGGTGGCCTTATTCGCAACTCTATAGAGGGCATTACACAGTCCATGTCCTGTCCACCACTATACTGCATTTTGCGTTATCCCGCTTTTGTGCTGCTGTTGCTCTAACGCGTCGTAGCGTTGACTAAGAGTCTCTGGACTGCGAACGCCTAAAGGGGCCTAGGGATGTCGCTCGAAACCTATAAAACAGGTATTTTTCAAGGTTAAGTTCGAAGAAGCAATCTGAAACGATTAAGACCCACTAATCCTAGTACTAGTGTGGCTTCCAAGGTCTTCGGGGTCGGCCAGAAAAGATAGTAATCTGAGAATTTGAATAGAGAAGGGGTATCTTAGCTAAACTGCGTTTCAGTGTCCTGTTCTTCACTCTGACAGTCGACCTCTGTCGAATTTGTTGTTGCGTTACAGTGAGTATACCTTGACTAGATTTAGGAAACAAGACTCACTACCAGTCCGCATAGGTCCTTGTGGTATGTGGGTTTTTATCCCTCTGACGACTCCACGTGCTCAATCAGATGTGAGTACCGCATACCCCATCGGCATTTAAAACCACAATCTATGGCTGTACACTTTCTTATAAAGCAACACTAGCAAAGTTATGGATGCTTTAACCTAGTACTTATTTTTCCCCGTTATTTCTAGCTATCGCTCCGCGACGATGGTGTCCGTCACCCTTGGCTGTGATCATCGGGTTGTCGACGGAGCTGTTGGTGCCCAGTGGCTAGCTGAATTCAAATCCTTGGTGGAGTGTCCGGCCCGCATGTTGATGTAAAGGCACGTTGAAATGTGGCGAAGACTGTTGCATTTCCCTTTCTCGCTCGCCTTGTCCTCTTGTGTGCTGTCTTGGCCTGATCTTGAACACTACCAGTGGTCTGCCGCCAGTCAAGGCGCGGATGCCAGCCTGTGTTGCTTTTTAATAGCTTTGCGGTTTTCTTAGTTGTTTTAATTGTTTCGGACCTCCCCTGCTCACCGAGCGCCAGTTTTCGGATGTGATGTCGGTAGGGCAAGTTGTTGTTCGGCGTTTTGTGCTGATCAATAAAAAAAGATCTTTGTAATCTTTCCATTGCCTTCAATTTATCGACTCGTGTAATTGACTCACCAGCTGGTGCGTACAATGTCCTCTCCTGGAGCAAATAATGTGCATCATAAAATTAACTACGCCGAGGAGAGCAGCCAGCTAGCTAGTTTCGTGGGGCTTAGCTCTCGGAGGCACCACGCGGGTCGCACTGGCTCACATTACTTTGATGTTAAGTTGCGCCTGCCTGCAGCAGAACCAGTTTCCAGTAGACGGGTCTGCATAGCACGTTTGGTAGTCGCAAGGGAGCACGACTCCCATTTCCGAAAAGCCACGGGTCCGGATAGTCAAGCGTAGGGAGGAAATGGGCCAACTGTAACGCTTATTACTTGGGAATGTGCCTTTTCACCTATGCAACAGCCGGGAGCGCCCTCCCGCGGCTGAACCTCCAGGCTGTCCTGGTGTCTTGCTTCAGCTAACTGGGATCTAGTCCCTAGTGGACGGACTAAGCACACCAGCACCGAGCTGTTGCTTTTGTGTTTTCGTACTAACTTATGCGTATTTGGTTCGTCTGCTAATTGCAGACAACCGGAAATGCGATTCCCAGGGAGCAGTTGAGTAGTTACGGTCACCGAGGTCCTGTCCGCCTGACGTCTCGGATTTGTGCCCGCCGTCAGTAACGGCATTAAGTAGGGCCAGTTCATTCACGGGGTAAGCTTATAGGATACGACCGCTACCCTACCACATACCCGCGACAACGGTTCCCCCTGTCGCGGATGGTGGTTCTTGGCGTGATAATTGCTTGATGGCCGGCATTAGAGTCATTGGTCACCACAATTTCCCCCGTTTTGGGATTTGGCGTGCTAATAATTTTACTATGGGCACTGGCGCTGCGAACAATGTTCGCCTACTCGCTTCTGTTGTGACTGGTTACTCACCCCAGGCTAAGTTCCAACAACACATATGGAGGGGGTGGAGATCATTGCACTTGTTGGTAGACTGGAGGCCAGGGAACCATAATTCAAGCAGCAGGCAGAAATTCCGTCCGCGTTGAACTTATCACCTGGCCCACTACAGTGCGTCTGAACGCGCCAACATAGGGCCTTAAACAACTGAGTTTGTAATTGATAGGTGGTTACCGCTCACTACCACTTTGAACTGGCGCGCAAGTCACCGACTCCGCCGTGGATCACATGTGGGGACATCGCGGCAACAGCGACCAAACTGTCGTGTGTGGGATGTGGGGGTGTCCAGTCAGGATCACCCGTGGTTGAGTGGCAGACCGCAACACGCAAATGATGATTGCTCCCCACGGTCCTTAGCTGGCGTCCAAATCGTCTGTGGTTCCCAAACCCCGGTAGCCGCCCCGACTGGCACGCTAAACTAACCGAGGGTTCGCGGCTGTGTTCGCCGTACTCAGCAATTACTTTCACACTCGGCCCTCCCTCTTTCCCTCCACTTTCTTCCCGTCCATACCTCCCTCTCCTTTCCGCCCTCTCCACTTCAAGTCCTATGGAGAGGAAAACATGCAATCCCATAGGCGGCCCAAGCTGACTGGTGCCGCTCTTCCACTAAATCAAGCTGTGGCCTATAGTGGAGTTTGATAGACGTCTGGAACGTTTAAGCGGGGGAAGGGGTTAGAAAAGGTACCCTAAACAATTGCTGGGATCACGTCATTTACATACAGATCGTGGCTCGCAAATGCAACACTCGGGGTCGAAACACACGAATAAACAACAACCCCCGTCCCCATCTCCCCCTCCGTACCCTGCAGGCTGCTAGTGTGAGTCCCCTCACTTTGGTAGCCTGGGATGTTCGTTAACTTCTGGGTACTCCTAGGAGCAGTCGACCAGAACGAAGGACAGCGCTAGTCGCCCCAGAACTGGCGCGCTACAAGGTAGGCATCGTTGCTTCCAGCGAGACCGCTTCTTCAAACAAAGCCAAAGAGAGTATGCGGATACCGGCCACACCTCGAGCGGCCGCTCAAAGGCAGTGACGTGACGCAGGCATAGCGCTTGCCATTCGAACCTCTGCTCTGTCTGCCGCAGGATATCAACAACCGCCTAGTGAGCCTGCACCCGCCTCTTCGGGAATCCAAATTAGCCACCTTCGTCGCTGCCTACGCATCCAATCGCCAGCTCCGACAGGACTTAGATCAAGTTCTGCGAGAACCTGCACATCCTCCTGGCGTCTGTGCCGTAGGCAGACAAGCCGGTTACCCTTGGCGACTTCAATTTCCGCGTCGAGGCAAACTGCACTGCCACGAGGGGAGCGCTGGATCCCCACAGAGTCTGTGGCTATAACGAAAACAGCCTCCATCTCATGCGAACATGCGCAGAATACCACGCGTCCCCACCAACCTCTGCTTCCTGGATGCATCCCCGGACGAGGTGTTGGCAGTTGCTGTATTCAGAAGACGAGGTGGCGAGCATACGTAGCTTTCGATAAATTCTCGTCGGGCCAGTACAGTTATATAGGAACGGGGTAGAAGTAAAACATGCAAGCGATAAGAGAAGTCGATAAAAGTACTCCTTAAAACAAAGGTGGGGTGTGGGACTGTGGGGGAGGGGGTGGGGGTGGGGGTAATAGTAGTCATTGTCATGGGCGGGGTGAGAGCGCAAGTGCGCGGGGGGAGTTGCACCGTTAGTCAGCCTTCGACCACTGTAGGCGCGGAGCCTGAACGTGGTTCTTCTGTGCGCATAAGGTTGGCTTTCGTAACCTAATGGCGACCGCTTCCGCTGTCGCTAACAGGCGCTGGCCTAGTAGCTTAGGGTAGCTCGACAGGACCTTATAAATCACACGAAAAGCTTCGTTGGGGTCCACACGATGTCCGGAATCGACCACATGCGCGAGAATGGCGCTGCTTATACTCCTCGTTTCGCCTTTTCCTAGCCATGCCGGGAGGTGTGCGCGTATTCTTTTGGCTGAGCGCCGACTCGTGCGACCAATCTAACCTGCTCCACAGGAGCAAGTGAAGGAATATATGCACATTGAGGTGGTCTGCGGTGGCAACTTATCCTTACCTTCTCCGCGTAAAATAGGGTTAGTAGAGAATGATATTTGAACCCTTGCTGCTGGGAAGGTTCGCGAGACAGCTTGATCAAGGCGTCTCCTTAGGAGTTCACTCGTCGCGTCCCCATGGAAAGGGACTTTGAGGAACAAAGTTGCTGTATTATTTCCTCGTTCGCAGGCGAGATAGACAGGACGTGTTGGTGAACAAGACAATCGGTGACGCTAATGGCTGGACGTATCACCGCCTCGTCATCTTCAAGATGAAGCTCCATCGGCAGCGCTGCAGGATATCACAAGGGAAACGACCACCAGGTATCTTAAACACTGTTTTTTTCGGATTTGCCTGCTCACCGCTGGCGTTTCAGCAACCAGTTAGCCCGGCGGCCGAAAGAACTGCAGGCCTCAGACGACAACGTCGCCGTGGGAACTCGGTGGCGTCAACTGCGGAACGCCATTCACTCGACTGACTGCCTTGGGTGTTCTCGGGTGCGCAGGTCATCAGCACCAGGACTTGCTCGACGGCAAGGGCGCAGGCATCAGCCAACTGTTCGCCGAAAAGCACAGGCTGCACGGGGCCTACATGAACCATCGGACGAACGCCAAGAAAGCGGCCTTCTTCCGCTATCGCCGCCTCATGTAACAGCGACTGGGGGGAGATCTTTGCTCGTATCCTCCTCAAGCGTCTGAATGGACATCCCGAACAGAGGTTGCCGAAAAGTCTGTGTGGATTCCGACGTCATCGGGGAACCGCCGCTATGATCTTCGCCGCCCGCCAACTGCAAGAGAAACGCCAAGAAATGCGGACCCATCCCTACGCTACCTTCGTGGACTCGACGAAGCCATCAAGACGTTGAGTGCGATGGAATGTGGAACATCATGCAGAAATTCGGCTGTCCGGAGTGCTTAACGCACATGACGCGTCAGCTCCACGAGGGAGTGGTAGTACGCATCACGGACAATGAGACCGTCTCAGGAGGATTTGGTATAATCAAAAGAAGTGAGGCAGGACTTCGTACTCGCCCCAAATCTTTTCAGCCCCATGTTTTCTGTCATGCCGATGGACGTCTATCGTGATGAGCGCTCCGGTATCCGCATCGCTTACAGCTCCAACGATCATCTTCTCAAAAGCCGGCGCATGCAGGACTCAATGCGTTTTTCTAAGACTACGATCCTGCTCTTCGTTGGCGATTGCGCACTGAACGCTGTCAGAGGCTGATATGCGATGGAGCATGGAACTCCTCACCTCCGGCTGCACCGATTCCGACCTGACCGTCAACGCAGACAAAACGGTGGTCATGCATAAATCACCATCCAACGCCGCATACACTGCTCCTCCCATCCACGTCATCGACACCCCAGTGACGACCACGGACAGCTTCGCCTACTTAGGCAGCACACTCACGCTGCATCAAAATCTACGACGAAGTCCCTCATTAAATCTCGAAAGCCAGACACTACTTTAGCCGGCTGCAGAACTCCGTGTTGAATCGACACGGTCTTCACCACAACAGCAAACTGTAGATAAACAAAACTCCGGAACGGACCGGAATCATTAACACCAATGCCCTGCTGAGGCAATTGCAACTGCGTTGGAGTGACCACCTTGTAAGGATCGATGACGAGCGCCTATCAAAACAACTCTTCTATGGCGATGTTGCTACGGGTGCTCGCCGAGAAGGAAGTAAATCACGTCGCTACAAGGACACCTTGAAGATTCGGGAGGACCTCGCACAGGACCGGCCGGCCTGGATATGAGTAGTGAAGACTAGTGCAGCTATCAATGAAGCCAACCAAGTTGCCGTTACCAAATCCAAAAAGGAAGCTCGCAAGTCTCAGGCACCCCTGACCCGCTACGCCAACCCCAGCCCTTCCCAACATGCCCGCGCTGTCAACAAACATTCCGCGCGCGAATCAGCCTCGTCAGTCATTTCCGGTCTCAATGCACTAACCCGACAATCCCAAATGCTATCCCCCTGCTTCAGCCCCCACGGCGTCCATTACGACGACCACCCTCAGCACCGATGCCTAACACCCCCATGTCCCGCTACCGTCGATCAGCCCCATCTCCATCATCCCTGACACAACCTCCGCGACAACGACGGTGACCACCACAGCTCCCAATCCCACCATTGAACAAAATCCTCCGGACGGCCGCTAATCATCACTACATCTTTAACATCCCCATCTTCAGCGACAGGGACTCGGTCCAAACCTGTCCCAATTGGGATCGCACATTTACCTCACGCATCGGCCTGGTCGGTCATTTGCGAATTCATTGCACTGCGACCTGCGGAGCAGTGCCAGGAGCCCTCATATAAACTCGCCGCATTCGCCTTCACTGTCCACGGACGTTCATACACCACATAGGCCTATTCAGTCGCATGCTTATCCACCGCAGGAAAATCCGCCGCAGCACCGGCACACTTAAGACACCTTGCACATCAACTGTCCATCTCTATCCCAATCAACCTCCCATCGACCAGCGCGCACACCACCAACAGCCTCAAAACTACAACCTACCCAACCTACCCCCCCCCCACCTATCCTGCCTCCATTGTCACCGCACATTCACCTCACGCATCGGCCTGGCCGGTCGCTTGCAAATACATTGCACAAGGACTGGCGAACCAGTGTCTGGAGCACTGACATACACAAGACGCCATTGCCTGAATTGATTGCAGTACTTTCCCACATCCAGCCATGGCATGGGATTATTCGGTTACATGCACGCACGCAGACCTGCAATAAATCACCGTGGTCATGAGCAAAGCACCAAACACTCCTCCATCAGTACATGCACCGCACATACACCAGACCACCGACACCTATCACGTGAGTGAGAAGTGTGCTCTTTGGCGTCTTATTCCTTATAGCTCATCTGTTGCATATGAGATACGAGCAGTCAATTCCCCCCCTTGTATGTGGTATCATGTTGTTTACGTATGGAGGGCTAGGTCGTGTTTATGGCACGCATATACGAGCTGTTCTTGGCTCTGTCAGCCATCCCTCCCAATCCTATCATCAGTTCATTGATCGACTAGGACAGTCGACTGGGTATGTGATAGGATAGAGCGAATAATTTCAACACTCGGGACACAATTTCTCAATATAAACCATCTGACGCGCTGGAGACTAACACGATGCGCCAAAAGCCGTGGCGTAAAAATTGCCAACTAAAACCACGCAGTCAACCCAGTTGTGTGTTCGTGAGATGAGTTGCTTACTGGTGGACTGAGAGTCAAACTACGGTGGCACCTCCTTACTGGAGCTCTCTCACGCATCCGAGCGTTCATACCCATCCTGTGATCCTCGAAATGGACCACATGGTAGATGAGCTGAGCCAACACCGGGGCTAGACGAGAGTCCGGCAGGCGTTATCGGCAATGCGTGCCCTGAACAAACGCCAAAATCCAGATGTGGCAACGCGCTTAGTTGCCAGCTGACGTCGCGCCAATTGGAGTCCCTGCCGCTCCCATTTTTGCTGTTCAGAATCCTAGTCAGGTGTTTGTTCTGGACCAAGGCGGTGTGGAGATATGCATAGAAGCGGAATATCGCCATGCCAGCCACCTGGGGCATCTCCCATCTCCGATCCTGACTTGTTCATGACACCGGGTCTAGGTGAGGGAGAAGGAGAGAACGTGGTTAATTCATCGCAAGTCTACCGTCACCTAAGACCAACCCACATGCCGGTCAACGTCCCTGCTCTCACCCCGCTGTGGAGCACACAGTAAACATTGTCGGCAACGACGGTCGAATTATCAGTTGCTTTCAAGCCAAGTACTTGCGTCGTATTTGTCGCTCTACTTAATACTTTGGCCTTCGGGCTACCATAAATCAGCAGCAAACCAAGACATTAAGGAAAGTCAGCCGACCATCGTAAGTTGTGTGTCCATGACGTTTAGACCCTCTCTTTAAACCCCCTGATCTTAAATGATGACGAATTTATCGGCAACTTTCTCAGCTCAGACCGAAAATGAATCCAGAAGGTCAGACGAATATTGTTCCCGTTATCCCATAGCCTTCTTCACAGTATCACTGATGACAGTAGGGTCGGAAGATCATTCATTGCAGAGATATGTCAAATAGCAAAAGACGAGGCCCAGGAAGCAGGCGAGAAAAAGAAGACACGATCGTTGGAACAATAGATGTATAAGCCTGACATTTCACATTCCTGATCAAACACCTCAGAGAAAAGAGCATATCCTGGTAGTTCATGTACGAGAGTATGCTGTCACCAAGTTAACTAATACGTATGAAAATACACGATTTCTTAATTTATCAGCGATCGTTGCAAATGATATTAAGAATATCCGACCGCTGTGTGTCAGTGTAATTCGCTTGAGGCATCATTTTAAGCCGATGGTCGAAGACCTTCCTCTTGTTTTCTATGCACATAATCCAACATTAACAACCCTGGAGACAGACTGACAGGACCGGTGCCCTTTACACTCGGATTTCGATGATTAATGGGGTCTCGCACGTGGTCCATAAGCACCTTCTAAGGCGTTCAATAGGTGAGCAAGAGGCATGGACTACGATGAGACGTTAGGCACCGCATTACAAGTGGCCATGTCCCAAATTCCAAGGGGATTAAGTTTATAAGGGTTAGTGTTGGGGCTAGATAGGTTAGGGTTACACAAGTGGAATTTTTTGATGGAGTTCATATTCCCGTTCCCGACCTGGTGAGGATATCGTTCTAGCTCTGTTTCTGTCAGTGGTATTGTCGATTTCTTCATGCTAACACACCCAGTAAGCGCGGTAGCTTGATAGTGGGCTTTGATCATAATAAATATTATTTCCGACACCTCCCTCTAGCTGCATTTTTCTCTAGAGGGAATCACTTCTAACAGAGTTAAACGCTGCAGCACTGATTCTGATGAGGATTGTTAGTCTAGATTGAATCTAGGAGTGCATACACTCTAGTGTGCATTCGCGTGCTTAGCACCACACGTGCCTCGCGCGCTGGGCACAGAATGCCCCCCGCCTGCTGCCTCGGTTGCCAAAATAAATTGCCTCCGGCTCTCCGTACGCGCCCTTTGCCGCCATGGCGGTGGTTTATTGACCCGTTGTCGTTTGCGCCTGGGCGGGAACGTGCCTTCCAGCACACGCTGATTCGTCTGCATGCCTCCTCTGCCGTAACTTTTCCCGTGTTCTGGAATACCTTTCAACTTTTCCCTGCTCCAACATCTCATTGCACAATGCAGGTAAGGGGATTACCATTCCTTACACAATTACAATGAGTCACTAGGACTTCCCATGGTTGCTTCCTTGAAATTCCATTTTAGACAGTATATCCCGCTTTCTGGGACTAGACGTTTTGCCTAAAATTTCCAGCTGGTGAGTCACCTAACTGAGTAGGCAACTGTCGACTCTTTTCCCGGTGATCCTTCGAGAAATTGTCTGCCTCTTACACAACGGCAAGCATTCTACTACATTTATGCGTACTTTTAACATGCAGGAACATGACCCGATGTTCTCCACCGCATAGGGTCCACTATTGCCTCCCTCAATTATGAGCCTAACAGGTCGTACACATGCACAAATAAAGGTTTTAAGGTCTGCTAAGGTCCAATGACCAATTATCATAAGTCATTTGCCATGTCACCACAACCCGGACTTCTCTGGCATGCATACGACTAGTGATGTGCCCTGCAAAACTGGACTTTGACTATAATGGCCCGGTTGTTCAAATTCAAACTGAATTCAACGATGCGTGGACCTCTGATACCAGGCGTCAAATAAGGAAACCGAAAGCTCCACTGCCGTGGCAGGAAACATCTGTAGTCGTTTATCGGGTCTGGTGCAGTTGCGGGAAAACAGCTAGGTCGGAGAAACCGGAAGACTACCCCGAACGTGAATGGCCGAACACGAATGAATAACGCCACCTCTGAAGTTGCGGCTCGTTCGATGAGATCTGGCCACACATTCAAATTCAACGAGGCCGAGACTCTAGCCACAGGTGACAACCGAGTTAGCCAGACTCGTACAGCCTTCATTGAGGTCGCCATAGCCTCTAGACGCGTTAGACGGCGTCTCTGTGTCACGCCATGCTCAGTAAGCATTTTGCCGGTAGCGGTGATCGATAACACGATCCCACGCTAACGTAGGCGTCGTACTAGACCAGGCCTGACTGTCATGTCAGTAGGCCCCCATCGGTGTAAACAGCGCCCGTAGACAGAAAAGGCAAGGGGCGAGTGCCATCTCGCCATGGATAAGTCACACGAGATTTTAACGCAATCGAGACGGAAAATGTCCTTAAGGTTAGTAAACATTGACTTAAATACGAGTGAATAACAACAAAGTTTGAAAACGCATAGCAAATAAAATAACTAAAATAAGGCTGTGTACAAATATAACAGAATGGTCACCACAGGCCAACCGTTGCCCTAAAAGGCAGCCCCACCTACAATTTGGCAAAGTGGATGTACTCAAAACTGAAGTTCCTCCAAGGCAATTCGACTACCTCAGTTCGATCAGCTTCTCAATTCCTCATAGACCTCCGAGGTCGGAGAATTCAGTCGGACGAAATCATGGTCTCCTTCGATGTGACGTCGTTATTCACATCCATCCCACCAAACGTGGCCCGCAAAGTCTTGCGCAAGAGACTTGAAGAGGCGTACGATGAGACTCAAAATGCCCTCAAAATTGAACACTTAATGAGGCTGGTTGAATTCTGCCAACAGACGTTCTTCACTTTTGCGGGAGAGACCTATGAACAAATCAAGGGAACCCCAATGGGCTCACCGGTCTCCGGTTTGGTGGCAGAACTGGTCCTAGAGGAGTTAGAAAAGATTGCCTTCCTCCGACATGAACCGTGTTTTGGCGACGTTACGTTGACGACACGTTCGTCATCGTAAAGAAGGACATGCTGCAACATTTCCACAGCCTGCTCAACGCAGTCTTCCCGGATATAAAAGTCACGAGGGAAGAAGAACAGGAACAGCAGTTGCCCTTCCTGGATGTGCTCGTCAGACGAAACCTTAACGGTGAACTTGAAACGACGGTTTATAGGAAGGCAACGAACACCACACAGCTTCTCAGTTTTCACAGCAACCATCCGGTGGCTCACAAACGAAGCTGTGTGAAGACGCTCTTCAAACGGATCCAAACTCATTGCAGCAAACCGGAGGACAGAGCACGTGAGGCCCGTTATCTCCGCGACCAGTTTGTGCAAAATGGCTATCCGAGGGCATTCATAAGTCGCTGCCTACGCGGTCGCCACCAGAGAACTCGAACATCAACACCACCGATGATATGGCATTCTCTGGCATACATCAAGGGTGTTTCAGAAGCGACCGAGCGCATTGCTGCGGAGCTAGGTGTTGCAATTGCACACCGCCCCAAAGCCACCATGCGCAGCAGGGTCATGAAAATCAAAGACCGGTTAAAACCTGAAGAGCAATCTGGAGTAGTGTATCGCATTCCGTGTCAAAATTGTCTTTGTAACTACACAGGACAGACTGGACCCATGCCCGGATCGCGCATACACGAACATAAGCTGGCTGTGCGGCGAGGCGACGCATTATCACAAGTGGCCGCCCACACCTACGAACCGGGTCATGAGTTTGACTTCGCAGCCACCAAAATAGTCGCCCACGCCGGAAACAAAACAGGCCGATAATTGATTGAAGCCTGGGCCTCGGATGAGAACTCGGTCAATCGATTTATCGATCTGGCGCCGGCGTACAGAGTCCTTCGTAGTCACCTGAAGTCGTGCGACGTCGGTCGATGATTGGGCCTACGTGACTTATAACTGCCGCTTGTCCTGTTTCTGCCACTACCTCTGACGATGGACTCCTGTGCGAGTCTGAAAGCTCAGGATAATAAACTAAGTGTACCGGTGATCGACTCTTCTTCTTCAAATATGCATACACCTGGAACTCGAAATTTCGCCTTCACTCAGATAAGTCCCTGGTGTCTGGAAGAAGGTATGGAGTGGATCCACCGCCGTAAACGTATCACAATGCGCTGGCAGTCATGACTTGAGAGGGGTTACCTACTGATGGTTTAACACTGCCCTACTCAGTACTGAAGGCCAGGCTGTGATGGCTCTAATGCGACTCGGGTGTGCGAGATCTAGGCTTCCCGCAAGATGACTCTGGCACATGCGGAGTAAGGGACTGAGTCTTGTGTGGCAAACGTCCGTGGGCGACAGCTTTGTCAACCATTGCACACAAACCAAGCCCCGATCGTCCTGCCTTTATCTATCCATCGGGGCGCGATGGGCATAGAAGTAGAGGATTAGGTAAATGCCGCGCAAATCATTACTCTGTCCAACCCCTAGAGGCAGCAGGGGAACTTGTCGCTAGCGCCGATCCAACCGTCTCATCGATTTTCCCCAAATCGACTCTCGGTATTTTTCCCCTTGGATCTTTCCTTCCAATAATAGTTGGTTTATCTTGTACGATGAGTTATGAGCTCTTTCTGCTGGTTTCGCATATGGAATTATGTATGTTGCTACTCCTGTTCTACATTTGTGTTTTTCAGGTGTTGGCAAAGGAAGCCAGCGGAAGCGGCGACGCAAGCAGTCTTAATCGAAGGTCCGCTGATAGTTTATGACTTTTTCCCCAACGAGAATCATGCAGAGGCCTCTGAATCTAAAGATCTCCTCAGCGGCAGCCTAGTATAACTTGCAGTACTTGCGTTTACAATGTATTTACGCAAGCATTTTTGTAATTGCTTTTTAACTTTTTTCCTTACTTCCATGAATACACCCACCTACACTGTAAAACATTATGAAGTTTACCATCTTCACGTGTTCTATTGTCTTGGCTACCTTACTCGTCCTCCGATGACGGATAAAACACCGCCGTTCCGGTATTAAATATATCCGTGAACTTGTCAGCCCGACGGGGATCCGGAGTTTAGGCCAGTACAGGGTCGTACGATGCGGTCACTGAAGCCAAATGCCGACAAAAAATGTCAGGAGTGGAAGGGAACCACACTGCCGACAACGCGAACAAATTCCATGTGTTGCTACATTCGCTAGAAGGACGAAGACGTTTCTCCAGTCACCCATTCGCTTGAGTGTGTGCCACCCTGGCATGACCTCTTCCCTGAGTTGTTCACTGGATTACTTCACATTGAGTACAGCTTACTCAGAGCCACTCCGGCCCTTTTCTTCGCTTCTCGGCTATAGAACCTCAAGCAGTTATCTTGCGCATCTGAAACATCAGATTCGAATTTATGCGAACTACTCTGGTCTCCTTAGCGGGCTTGGCATCAAGTCTGTCAAATAGTACTAGAATAATATAGTCTTGCTCCTTCAATGAGCGAAGGGCACACAAGTGCCGTTGGTAGGAAGGCATCAGTCCTGCTGACGTGACTATAAAGACCATTTCCATTATTTGGAACCATTGTAGCGCATTAGAAGTACGCATGCGGGGCTGTAGGTTATGGGCTAGGAGGTGTTTTGGTACGCCTTTGTGCGGCTTTTGCCTTGCCAGCCGTTTGCGGTCTTTGTAGCTCTGCCGCGATACCGAGCCCAGGTGGGGAAGAAGGAGAGTGTGTGGTAGATGCTGCGCAAGTCTACTATCAATACAGACGAATTCACGCGCAAGTCACCATCCCTGTTCCTATCCTGCTGTGGACCGTCGGGTAGGACGGTCGCTCTGGCTATTGTGATATGGTTTGCGACACGGTACTTCGCGATAATGCCCGGTTCCATACTTGGAACCTCCTTGTGAAATGGCAGTCTTTTCTTGGTCGATTAGTTCTATCGGCATGAAGGCAATCATGTACTTGGACACTTTGTTTCGGAGTGCTCTTTTCGCTTCATTTCCACAGCCAATGTCTTCGAATGTTAGATTGGCCCGTTTACTGCGTTTACTTTATCTTGCTGAATGTTCCGCAAATAAAGGAAGCGAAAAGCTACTTACGAACTGTACGCAGATATTTCTGTTGCCCCTAAGAAATGCACATAACCTCACCACGTTTTCCGACTGTGAATTTAAATATAGCGTTAACTAACTACGCCTGCCATGTGTGATATATTCTACTTGCGCTTCTGCCTTACAGCAGGTCGAAGCGTTTTATAGGTGGGTACTCAGTTAATTCAGTGCCTCATACTCGCTTCACGTTCCGAATGTTGAAGTTCGGCCGATCGGGCTTGCGTCCTGCTGGTGATATGCGATTATTGGGTCGCCCACTCCGTTGATTCCAGCAGGCGTCATCCAGCAAAATTACGTGGCCCATAAGTGGGCATCGTCACCATAGTAAACAAAATGAACAACTGCACATATGCAACACGATCGAATACTGGGCGGGAATCGGATCGGAAATCTTGGGAATTTTAACATGGAAGGTCAGGTAAACAACGATTCTGGGTTGTTGAAACTTTAATCGCAGCACGGTGGAGGTGACGAAATCTGTCAGTGCTTGCTGATATATGTACGTTGAGTTACGTAGAACAGTTTCCTGAGCGCATATGATATTTTCTGGCAGGATCTCCAGAAACCTGGCTGACTTTTCCTCTGCATTTTCATCCTTCACATTGCAAACGATTTTACCTTCTATACATATATGACCGGAAAGGCGGATGCCGGCAAGCAGCTGAGAAGAAAACGCGATCTTCTTAACTTGAATTTTAACCATTGCTGACTCTGACAATGGGTCAGAGCTAGAATGCGAAACGTCAGTCGAATAGAGTTTCTGTTACAGCGATCGCGTTTTCTTTCTTACCGAGCCTAGTCGATTTAGCGCTTACCGGGCAATGTTCTTGGACGGGGAATCATCCTGATATTGACTTGCTCGATGTTGGCTCGCGTATTCTAAACACTCCCTGCTTTTTACCTTAGAAAAGTAACGAAACCGAACGCTGGAGAAGTCGCAGGTCTGGAAAAGTATTTCCATCTACGCAGGAAGATTGATGCTTCGGAAAAATTAGTTTCTACCGTTTTGGTCCAATTCATTCACACTCAAAGCAAACGGCCAGCCATGTTGTTTTATAACATTCATGTTTAACTGAACAAACGCCCAAACAGTGGATAGTGACTCGTGCGCGACTTCATAAAATAAGCACTTATAGAGATACCAGAATAACCAATTCTCTCGCAGTATGTTGGACAAAACTCACGGTCAGTAGTCAGTGGGCAAACGTTTGGTTTACAATGTAATGACTGTTGTGTTGGGAATGCATATAAGTACCACACGTTCACTACTAGTCATCAAAAGACGCAGTCAGGTCTCCGTCAGTGTGCGTTGGGAAGGTGAACGAACTTTGAATTTTTCAGCAGTTGTGGTGTATGAGAGGTGGCGACACTGTTCCCCTTTCTATCGGGCTGGAAGTTTGGCCATGTATCTGACGTGATTTCAAGGCAGAACACGGGCCTTCCCTCTTCTCTTGAAACTTCGGCGATGCGGTTAAAACCGTCACAACGTGCGCTCATGACAGTGGCTGAGGATCCGGGGCGTAGGGTTGTCCAACGGTGGGTTCACGTGATAGTCGTAGTAGGTCGCTCACTTGCTTGCATGTGAAGACTATGCCTAGAGTCCATTTACTGCACACAACTCACCCGTGGCTCCCCGAAGCAAGGCTCTGCCTAGCGGCCACGCCCAGCTAACCGCCTCCGCCTGCGGGCTAAACCAGGTGAGGGTGTCCGTGTGTGCATTTCCGCGCACGGTACTGTGAACTCCGCTGATCGGATGGAAACTCGCATCGGCATCTTGGAGAAGATGTTCCATTTGGACAATCGCAAGAGGCCACAAGCTTACGACGATGTCGTAAGCACAGCAGGCTAACTCGGGTCGTTCTTCCATTTCACCAAAACCGTGGCCCATAGTGGAGTTAGACAGCGCCTGACACAACTGAGTAGCCCTATTTAGGGTGGTACTGCTCACCACCGCAAGGGGGAGGGGACTAGAAAAGGTGCCCTAAACAAATGCCGGGAAACGACGCCGACTGCAGGCCTACGTGGTCGCAGACGTTAAACTTACGGTCGAAACAACCGAAGAACAGACAACTACAACAGCACTGGTGGAGGGGCGCTCATCGGTCGTTCTTACGGAACTCACTCGTTCCATTGTGCCTTAGGCGCTCTCTGTCGAGTCCAACCAGCATCCGCAAAGCGGCGCGTGCTATAGGCAGAATGTTGTTACCGACACAGACGAGGGAGACTGGAATGGCCACTTCTGGTTTATTAGCCTCGGCAGTCATTCATACACAACCCTGAAGTGTGGGACACTCGGGACTCGAACTCGGGACCTGTTAGAAGTCCAACACATCTAAGCACTGGGCCAGGGTAACACCATTCTGCCTATATCATGTGCCGCTGTGCGGCTGCTAATTGGGCTCGAGAGAGAGAGAGCCCGTAAGGCACAGCGGAACGAGTGAGTTTCGTCAGAACGATCGGTGAGCGTCCCTCTACCATTGTATATTCCTGATCGCAACCGACAGGACATCGGGCCGTGGCCCACTGGTTAGAGGGGTTGGACTTCTTACTAGCAGGTCGCGAGTTTGAGCCTCGGGTGTCCCACGCTTCGTTGTTAGGTATGACTGGATGACGGCGGTTAATAAGCCAGAAATGGCCATTCCAGTCTCCCTTGTCTTTTTTGGTAACACCATTCTGCCAACAACAACGCTCTCTCTATCTCTTCCTCCCTCCTCCTCCTCCTCCTCCTCCTCCTCCTTCTTCTTCTTCTTCTTCTTCTCTTTATCCTCCTTCCCGCTGTCCCACTCGTCAGACTGGTAGGGTGAGTCCGCTCGCTCTGACAGCCTGGAATTTTCGTTCCCTTTTAGACAAGCCGAGGATCAACCCGCCTGAACGGGGAACGGCGATAGTGGCTCGAGAACTGGCGCGCTACTAAGCGGACATCGCCGCACCCAGCGAGAGCCGCGCCGGCACAGAGCATGCAGCCCGGAGAGGAGTGCTAGGTCCACATGGTCTCAGCGGCTCCAACGACAACGGCCTGCTCCTTATCCGCACCTGCGAAGGGCACCTTCTCATCCTGGCGAACACATTCTTCTGCCTGCCGGAGCGAGAGAAGGCCACCAGGATGCATCCTCGGCCGCGTCAGTGGCCCCTGCTGGACGATGTCCTCGTCCTGGGGTGAAACCAGCGGGACGTGCTGGTGACAAAGGTGATTCCGGATGCTGATAGGTGGACCGACCATCGCCTCGTCATCTCGAAGATGCGGATTCGCTTACAGCCTCGCAGGAAACCTCATGGTAAGCAAAACCCAGGTAAGCTGTATACTGCCTTGTTGTCTTTCAGAAGACAAAGATGCAATCACTGGAACAAGAAATTTATTGGCCTGACGTTTCGGATTCTCACTCGAATCCATCATCAGAGGCATCAGACTGTTTTCTTTGCCCGCTCACCACCTCTATTTCAGCAACGAACTAGCTCAAAAAATTAGTCAAACGTCCAGTCGACGCCGAGGCCGCAGACGATAACGCCTCCATGGAGAATCTGTGGTGTCAACTGCAGGACTGGTTCGACGACAACGACGCCGTCATCAACAAACTGCTCACCAAGAAGAACCGTCCGCACAAAGCCTACAGCACAGCACAAACCCTTTACATTCTCTTAGACATTAAGTAAGATTCGTTGACATTGTGTACGCAAACAGCCTGATCATACAGTACATGACCTAGCTCATGAAATCTGATAACGGAAACTGATGCGAGAATTTATGGCCGTCTTTAATGTTGCGCATTTTGCTCGCTCATCCACATCCTTCAATGAAATGTCCTTTTCTTGTACAAAAATTGCGATTACGTAACTATATCAAGTAAAATATCAGTACATTTTGGTGAAAATGGACGTTGGAATATATTCGTGCAATTTCCCTTCCTAATACATGTTGTAAACCACCGTTACGCATGTGAGCGACTTGTTTATTGAAAGGATAGCAACTTACCCGCAAGACTTTTAATAAACAGATTTAGCCGAACTTGAAAATTTATTTTATGTCCGATGTTAACCATTGTAATCAACCTGCTAACACAAAGATTATTTTAAGAAAACCAGAAAATTTTATTAATTCCTAAATGTCAAATTAGCAGATCTGTGCGATTTGGTGCCCTAAAGAACAGTAATAACGCAGATAGGGATTCCTTCGTTTAACTGGGCCGAAATTGATTTGCCGTTTGGAAAATTCTACCTGATGTCACAGAAATGACCGCCGCCGAATGGGCAGTTCCAGGTTTAAACATATGAAACACTACTTGTCGTGTAGTTCAGTTTCTATGCATACCTTACTCAGAAATAGAACGAACAAGACCTTAATAGTTTCAGCAAAATATCAGTATTTATATGGGTGCTTTGCCGTGCATTCCTACTCGGTGAACGCAGTCTAAAAGAGAGCAAAACCAGTGAAAATGGCCCCAATGTATAGAGGAAGGCATGTTCTTACGTTTACGGTAGAAAAATAGGCTAAATTGCAGTTGTTGGCCAGGCCCCGTATTACAGGTGGCTGGGATTTGTTTACTGGGGCTTTTTTGTGGGGCTAAATAAACACGTCTGACCCATCTGGCTTCCGTTTTACGGTTGAGGTTAGGATTAGGGTACCGCTTAATGGTTTCCGATTTTCGGGTTAGGGTTATGCCTTTAGGCTTAGGTTTTCGGGTTACGCTTAGGGTTTGAGTTTACGATTAGGTTTCCCTATTTCGGTTAGGTTTTACAGTTAGGGCTATGTCTAAGGGCTAAGGCTACTTTTATGATTTCGGCTAGGGTTAAGGTTGACGTTAGGGTTAACGGTTTACGTTTAAGATTAAGGTTAGGGTTAAGGCCGCCGTTAGCTTTCCCATTCCTGGCTACCAACTGCGATCTAGCCTAAAAATATAAGTATTTCTCAGGACCGCGAAAGAAACCACTAAGTGTCAAATTTTTACTTGGCCTCACCGTGCAAATATGCGAAGTACACAGAGATCCGTCAACGGAGTGCAGTAATAAAGCACTTTTTAAAGAGGTAACCTATTAAGGAAAGTTTTCTTATTGGTCGAAGGCATATTTGTTGCTGACTTTCGTTGTGGACAGTCATTTTTCTCGAAAATGAAGTTTGGTGTTTGAATGAGTCTTTACATGCAACCCAAACGACCATCTTGGTGAAAAGAAACTCCCGAACACTCGCTAATTCGGTAAATGCCTTCAAGAATAATCTTATTTTAAAGTTCGCAACAGACAGGTAATTCAGAATCTGTCTTTTTAGACGATCGGGTGAAAGCGCTGAAAATCATGAAGTATTCAGCAATATTTCGAGGCCGATCTGAAACTCAAAGTAATCCACAACGAAGGAAAAGTGTAAATTAATTTAACAAAAGGAACGTTCTCTCTGTAAACACAAAATGGTATGTTTACGATCACGCCTGTCAGTTTTATTTAAATTTATTAGGCACCGACTGGCCTCATGGCATGTCACCTCATGAAAACGTCTGTTCCTACGACGTCCCCATCGGCAAGATCAAGCAAAATCCAGTTTATCTTGTTGAACATCACCTCATTTAACCCAAAGAGTCAAGGATAGCACGAAACTCTGGAAAACCGTTTTGTAATCTACACTCAGAATGTAGGCAGTTGGCAAACCGTCATATATGAAATCACACTACTTATTAAACATATTTAGATGTAAACCTCAATGGAACACTATTACTAAACGTTATGTAATTTGTATTTTCACATTTACTACATTTTTGGTATGAGGATACATTCGATTAGTCTAAAAACGAAGTTTACTAAACTAGAGCCATTTCTGACGTTTTCCGGATATTGCGCTTTTCAAAAAAGATCGGCATTTCTAAGCAACACAACACTGCTTTGAATATTTCTTTTGTGTTTTCGATTCTTTTAAACTTGTACTTAATTAACATAGACACTAGACTGATGAAATGATGTCGGTTTGCGAGTGGTTGACAAGCATTCGTAAATTTCGACACACTTCATGAGTTAGGTCACTAACTGTATACTATGCGAAAATATGCGTATCGTGCATCACTGGGTTTTATAGTTTTAAACGCATTGTAATAATACATATTGTGACAAAAATAAGGCTAATGGCATCCTGTGTATGAGGCCAGTTGGTGACGCACTTACATAAATAATAAGGGCCATTTACCGTAGAAATCGGCGAACCAGCAGAAAATCCGCGATATATATATTCAGACATACTTGCGCGTTAAATCCGGGATAGAGTGAAGCCGCAAAGTTGAGGCGCAATATAGCGAGGGACTACTGTAGTTCGGCATGGGCATCGTCTTACAATGTCATCACCTACGACGGACAGAGCGGGCAGGACTAGGGTCGTAACCATACACTGGCAGTCCCGATCGAACCCATTGATGGGCACAGCGGATACTTCTACTTCACTACGCCCTAGTGCTGAGTTATCATCTGTGGCTTGACGAAGCCGTGTCCGCCAATGGCATCCTGTGTATGAAGCCAGTTGATGAAGCACTTGAGGAAAATAATAAGGCCATTGTCCGTAGAAATCGGCGAACCAGCAGAAAATACGCGATATATTTTCAGATATACTTGCGCTTTAAATACGGGCAGCCCCTGAACTACTCCTCATCCCAAAGTGAAATATCTACGAGAAGGGCGAGATGTGATTTGCGGATGAACAAAAGTTGTTGTGGACGACATTTAAATAAACAAAATGTCGTGACCCATAGCCGAATTCGGGAGACGTTTGGGTTGATGAAGCAGCCCTGTTTTGCAAATCACTGCTTATCTCCTTCACGGAGAAGAGGACAAGAAAACGCGCCCTCATGCGTGCTCTCAAAGTACGTTGTCAGAGAGGTGCTTGTAACTTGTAAATGCAAAAAAATAGATAAAAACAATATGAAAAAAGGCAATTCCCTACGAAGTCTTCACGGCGGACTGTCAGGGAATAAATATTAAATAGTAGAGGGGCGCTCACCGATCGTTCTTACGGAACTCACTCGTTCCATTGTGCCTTACGGGCTTTCTTTTGAGCCCAACCAGCAGCCGCACAGCGACGCATGGTATAGGCAGTGTTGCCGACAAAGACAAGGGAGGCTGGAATGGCCATTTCTGGCTTATTAGCCGTCGTCAGCCAGCCATACACAAGCCCGAAGTTTGGAACACCTGGGGCTCGAACTGGCGACCTGTTAGAAGTCCAACGCCTCAACTAACAGGTCGCGAGTTCGAGCCTCGGGTGTTCCGCACTTCGGGGTTGCGTATGACTGGCTGACGACGGCTAATAAGCCAGAAAGGGCCATTCCAGTCTCCCTTGTCTTTGTCGGTAATAACATTCTACAAATATTAAAATGTAAAGCATGGAAGTATCTACGAAAGTTCCGAGGGTCGGTGTTTACGGATCTTGTTAACGGAGAAATGTACGCTAAAGGCCGCAAAAGAGGCGCCTTCCTAACGCGAAACCTAGGTTGCCGAGGGCAAACTCTCCATACGAGGGAGAGGCACAGACAGTCTACGAAAGCCAAGCAAGATACCCAAAACTCTCTGCCTCAACTGCCGCCGTGGAATGCTGAAGGCGAAAGGGCAAGAAAGAATATCAGAGACGGAGTACCCAGAAGGGACTGCCGTTCTCAGAGTCCACGCCATACAGAGCATATGTAACTGCGATGATGTGCTCGTATCGTGGGAATGGATGCCGAACCGTATCTCATGTGGCTGCTTTGTGGTGACGTCGACAAGTGCGTCAGCAAACAAGACGTAAAACGGCTACGATGCAAGGGGACCTTCAGGACCCACCACCGGAATCTGCAAATTAACCCAGAAATATTGGTAAGCGTAAAGTCGTCAAGCATGGCAAACCGTCTTACGAATCGCAGCAGCAATCGACGAAGCCCATCATTTGCGCGATACTGAGCCAAAGAAGCACGCTACCTCGAATAAACGGTTCAGCGCAGCTCCTAGGGCTGCGTGAACAAGGAAAGTTTGTATTTTCATAAGGTTCCAAGTATGGAAGCAGGCAGTATCACGGAGTGCTGTGTCGCAAACCATATCACACATGGCCAGAGTGACCGTCCTTCCCGACGATATCTACTGTGTGCCCCACAGCAGGATAGGGACAGGGGCGGTGACTTGCGCGTGAATTCGTCTGTATTGATAGAAGAATTGGCAACATCTACCACACACTCTCCTTTTTCCCCACCTGGGTTCGGTATCGCGGCAGAGTCAAGAAGACCG